TGCGCGACACATAACGTAGCGTTATAAATCGGTAATATATGAAGGGCAGGAAGAACGAAGCCTTACCCCTGAAGACATCAACTTCAATTAATTGAAGCGTTCAATTAAGAATACACTACTTATGCTGATTTGTGAATACAAAGTTGCGCTGTATATCTTAGGATGAACTTTGGTAACTAATGCCGATAATCACTTCTCAGCCCGTTCAAGAACTTTTGTTGTATACCGCTTTTTTGAATGTATTTTTTGTTTGAAAATTGCAAAACAATTTTGCTTTGCAATTTTCAAACAAAAAAACAATTAACAATTTTGTTGATAGTTTGTCGCAAAATTTAAAATATTCGTGATTTCATTACAGATACCAAGGAGATATGAATTACTTCTGAAGTAATTCTTACTGCTGCCATCTCTAAAGTAATGAATAGCAGTAAACAAAAAGATGCTTCCTCTTGGAGAGCTATAAGTCAAGTTATATATAGCAGATGAGACCTATAGTTGAATTAGACGAAATGGATATTATTTGCAAGATATTCGAGAGGTATTGATCTTCTATCTGCGATAGTGAAAAATAGCAATAATGAACGTTGTTAAAAGTTGGTATTGAAAATAAATTCGAATAGCATAAAGCTTTTGAAAAGTGGAAAGGTGACATCATGAGAGAAAGGACCGGAATAATTATTAGTGAAAAATTTTTTATCCAAATTAACCTCTTTAACAGCTCAGTTGACAAAAATTTGTTTTCTCTTCTCCTCATTTCCCAATGAATTAAGCAGAGGGAATGGGACAGTTTTTTTTTTTCTTTTTAAGTCGTTATATAGTTGCATTTGTCTGAAATGAATAAAAATATTGGACAAAATTATCTGAACTATAAACACTTTCAATATAAATTTCCTGAAATAACTCTCAAAATTATTGAAAAACGAGGGTTTTCGAAATTTCAAATTCAGGCACATCCACACATTTGACACGTTTTGCAATGAATAATACGGATATATTTAAACTTTGAAGGGTGATTTGGTGACACCGGATTGTTTTCAGAGAATCTGAATAGAACATCGAGAAAAACTTAAAAATATTTAAAAGCACTTAAAACTGATTCATGCTTCAATTGAATTTTTCAATTTTCAATTCAATTGAATTAAGGAAAATAGAGTTCTTTCCAGATATACTGCAAGAGTGTTGGGCAAAGGAATTGCCATAAGAATTTTTGGAATAATTAAGTGCAAGCAACTTATTCTAAAAGTTTTGTAAAATTCTATAAAAATTCTAATAAAAGCATGAAGAAAGAATGATTTTGAAAAACATATAAAAATATGTGAAAGGACAGCATAAGTATCTGTTTGTTCAGAGTACTAATCGGTAAAGAGTTAGATAAGAGATAGATATCTTGAAGAATTTTAAAAAAGAAGCGAAGCACTAAGGCTCTGGATAGAAAGTGACGCGTCATCCAATTTAAATAACATCAGGAGAAAGCGTTGTAATGTATTTTGAATATTGCAAAAGAATTTCATGTCCTTATTGTTATATTACCACTTATTTCGCTAAAGTAGAGATGTCAAGTAGTAATAAGACTTAGAACAGAGGGCAGTCCAGCTGATCCGTACATATTGGCATACGCATAATTGCAGGCTTATAACTCACCTGTCTATAGATGCCGCTTAAAAAATGAATTTAATAACAATTCAGAAAGTTACGGTACACAAGAGCTACACAGTAAGTATCGTGCAGAGCAATCTCAGTTTGCGAATTTTTACATCGCTATCATTCTGCGATGCTTATCAGTGATAGGTGATTCTCGTGAATTAAAACTACCGAACATTTCAGCAGTATTCCAAATGTTCTAGATAGTGGTGGGAATAATTGGGGAAGTATGAAGTAAAGGCTGGAAACTGTCCATTTAAGAATTCTTTCCCCGACTCGATCACATGCATAACATTAATTTCCACCTGAGAATTTATCAGACAGAAATTAATGTCATACATACTTTTCATTTCCTCAACATTAATGAGAGAACCTTTTAATCGCTCTGAATAGACGAAATATATCATTTAGAATTGTTATTCAAAAAACTGACTAGAAGAAGAAGATAATTTATTCAGAAAGTCTTAAAACATGAGAGTTAAGAAGGTGCAAATAACATATTGAAGTTTTTGCTTTGAACTGCAAAATAAAAGAAGCAATTTCTTAAAGCATTAATATACCACCGATAATTTATGTAATGTTGCTCTTTCATCAAGAATTGCAAAAACCTGTTTGAATCGATTCGATGCATTACCTTTTATATCCATTCATTCCGGACGAAGATTCTGCAAATAAATTACACCACCGATTCAATCCTTTGTTCCTCAAGACAACATCTTGCTAAACTTATCGAGTTGGTTTTCTAACTTACAATAACAAAAACCCGTCCAGCTCCTCCTTTTCATTCTTCTGCAACTTTTCTTCAAGGAGCTTTAAATATCAATATGCTACACTACCTCGTGACCCGAGAAGTTGCATCTCACAAGCCTCAGTTTTCAGAAATTGTTTCCAGTAGGTTCTTTAAGAAAAAAAGATGAAAAAAAATGAAAAAAAAACAAAAACAAAAACAAAAAACAAAACAAAAACTGTGGGTTGACATTGCAATGAAATTTCAAAAGTATGGAATCAAGAATTGGATTGTTGTCTCTCATGAATTTATAACTTTATTTCCACATTCCACATTCATAACTTCTTTTTTGGAAATTTCGAACATTCTCGAAATATTTTAGAAATACAGTAAAGCTGAATTTAGGCTACCACAATTTCAAAATTAACTTCTTAGCACTTCTGATTATTTGTCACGCCTTCAGCTTCGTTTTAGGCAGGATTTTGGAAAATAAGACATTTTTTTTTTCAATTTTTAGATTATGAATGTCTCAAGTGAAAATGTTTTTCTGTGTGAAATGCTTTATGATATAGTCTTGATAAGTATTCCTTATAAATTCTGAAGAAGTTAAGATTATCTGGTTTCAAGTACACCCAATTTAGGATCTAAATTTACAAATTTCGAAATTACAACGATTCTTGTTAAAAGCGTTTTGAACACCTTCATATTGCCATATGAGAGAAAAATACAGTTGGATGATACTCGTGACAATAATTTATTCAGCGCTGATGATTTTGAAAATTCTGTGGAAATGCTAAGTGGTATTGCCATACTTGCTCACAACAAAACAAACTTATCATACAAATAAAAAGACAGTTTAGAGTTAGATCTGTTCAAACTCTAGGGTGGTTTATCGGATACTACGGAAAGCATTATTTAAGTAAAAAGGTTTTCATCAATTAAAATATCTTTTATTTTGGGCAGGAATGCAAAAGGAAAGAAAGGATGAGTGAAGAAAGAAATTACTTGTTTTGAAAAGTAAAAAATACTGCTTCCGTAATGAAAGTAGAATTAAACCGGATATTCATTCAAACGATTAATACAAAGTATTAATCAAACATGACCTATGTTTCGTCTTCGGAAAAAAAGTAAAACATCAGTCGTCGCCTTCATATGAAAATTCTGCATTTTACTGATTTCGGATAGGATATCAATTCCCCTTATTTTCTTATTTGTTTCGTAAAAAAAATGTTCCCAAAAACTATTGATGGCTTCCAAAACGATTCCACCCATTTCTTATTATTGTTTCTGTTAGCTTCATCAGATTGTTTTTGTTGTCAATTTTTTTTTCTTGTTGTTGTCACTGTCGTTGTTGTTGCTATTCTTGCAACTGATACTGTCTGACAATTTTGTAATTCCGAAATTGCAACTACTACTGTTAAAGTTTTTTATTTTAAAGTTTTGGATTCTTTCCTTTGACAAAGATTATTTAAACTTTTGACTTAAAGGCATAATTTTTGTGAGAGTTCTTTGCTAACAACACTTGACACTGTAATACAAAGAAAGTATGGGATGAAGTCTTCAAAACAGTTAACATAACGTTGTGACGAGAAAAACTAAGATGGTGACTGCAAGAGAACTCGCATCTTATCTATTTTATTAATTAATGAGTCTCATTAATTAAAATGATTAAAAATAAAAGTCAATTCAGGTAGGGCTGAACTCAAAATAATAAACTGTGCATTTCATCAATAGATGCTATTGACGAAACTTGATCCAAGTGTGGAAGAATTATTGTTGAAGAATGCGGAAAATTAACACAATCCTTACGAAGCACATGACATGCAAAGTTACGCGATTCCACATCTTTTGATGAAATGCAAAATAAGAAATGCCAAAGAGTTGAGATGACGAAATTTTGAATAGTTTTTTTCCCTCTCTTTAAAAAAAAGGAAGTAACTAAACAACAAAAGAGTAAAAGCAAAGGAACAAATGAAGTAAATTACTTTCGCTTGACAAATATCTGGATAGCATGTTTACACTCCTTAAATTGTAGGAGAAATTAAATAATGAACAGGGTCGATCTCTCCGCCTTTCCTTTTTACCCATCACTTTATTTGTCTTTTCCCCTCTTTTACACCACTTTTGGGCAATAAAATTCACTAACTTGATTGTTCTTCCTCTTCAGTTTCTGCTATTATCATCATTTCGTATTGTCTTCCAACTCATGAATCTTCAATCTTCAAATCAAGCGTTCTTTATTGTTCTCTCCCCTCCGCCCTTAACTATTTGATTATCCTGTTTCATCTTATCATACATCACCGATACAACTGCTGTCACTTGTCAATGAACTTTACTTACTAAATACTACGTTTTGTGCTGTAATTGATCAATGAAGAATGAAGCAGTCTAATCTAATCCCAAACATGATGTCATTATTGATATTTCTCAATTAACCTTAGCCTAGAAGTATGCTAATCTTTTGAATAAAATTCCATGATTGAAACAGAAGACAGGCTGCACTTTTTAATATCTAGCAAGAATAAGCAACTTCTAACAAAAACAAAAATATAACTTTTTACTAAAAAATTTCACTGACAAAGAACTAGTTTTCTCTCTTTTATAGTTTGTATAAAGGATTCATGCCAAATTATTCGTGTTTGAGAATGACAAAGTATGTATAAGCAATACTGTTGGGAACAACAGTTCTTTACTTTATCAACCAATCATTCCACCTTCATATCTGATTATTAGAAAGGTCCCAGGTTGTTTCAACACATGAAAACACGCCAAATAATCAAACCATAATGGCAATTTAAAATGAAGAGTGGAAAAATGGAATAGAAAACAGCACTCAAAAAACAAAAACTAATTCAAATTAGAAGAAATAAGCTTATTTGAAGAACAATGCATATGTGTAAGTTGACTGCCATGAGAAGTTTTAATGAATTTATAAAATTCATATTTGAAACGAATATGTGAAAAGTAGTATTTTCATTAACGATGCTCTATGGTAAAGATATCTCTGTGATAAACAGATATTTATTATCAGTTGAGAACTTTGTTAATCCCAAGGTATTTCGGAAATTACATCATAACTTTGGCCTTTCATTTTAACTACAGATAAAAATAACATAATTTAGACAAATTGGAGAATTGACAGTTTGCAAATTTGCTCCTGAGTTTTGCCTGTTGTTGGATGAGTTTGCTGGACTATTCAGCCTCCTTTTATTGAACTGATTGAGTGGCCCTTATCATGGTCTATTTTGATCAGGACCGTCTATTACTGTCACCACTACTAAGCTGCAACGATGAGCAGTGACAATGACAAGAGAGTCAGCAACACAGAATGACGTCCATTGCGCCTTCTTCAACTTAAGGTTACTGTTACTAGCTCCTGGTGCCGACTACTTTTAATGAAATAATCAAAGTGATATCGTGATATCTATTGCCTCATTTGATAATCATTGGATGATTCACGCACAGTTCATTTCTCTCATTTCTCTCCTTGCAATAAATGTATGTCTTGCTGTTACAAACAAACAGTACTTGAAGAGCTGCCAGTGGCGCAGATGGTTTCGCACCGTTCTGCCATCATCATTCATAAGATGAGTCATATTGGTTTTTTTTTTCTAGCAATAAGACATGAGTACACAGTATTGTCTTGTTGGCAGAGTATTCCGATATACATCATTTCCCACATCACAATCTTTCCGGACATTATATACACACTATTCTGCTTCTTCTTCTTCCTATTCATTATGTGCTCGAACACTTAAGCCTGTCCAAATTAGCGAGATACAAATTTATTTTGTAACTGGATAACTTTGTACACGGTCTAAAGAAAAATTTTAAATATCTCTGATGATTGTCCTTTTGTTTAACCAATGTGAGGAGTGGACGTGATGGAAAAGAAAATCAAGAGATGTAAAAAATGTGGGAATTAAAGGACAACAAATTTCTCGGGTTTTAGTTTAGGTTCCAAAACAGCACTGCTACCGTATTTCCAATGCTTCTACAATTCACTGATGCCAAATTTATAAAAAAACACTCGAAATGATGGAACTGAAGATGAGTGGATCGGATCTACTTTATCATCGGAGGATCTCAGTTATACGAAAGAAAAAGAAACGTGAAAATAGATGACAAGAAAGGTCCAATTTTCATTGCAAAATTTTCTACTTCACTCACATCTTTCTCACTCATTTAATGGTTGGTTCCTTGATTGAAGTGATCTGATATCGATTGATCTCATTCCTTGTTCCCATCGAAAAATTAGCAGATCTGGAAGAAAAGAGATTGTACACAGAATACTTTCCTGATTTTCAGTGCCTGTCGTCCCACTAATATGACCCACTAACATGACAAATTAGATTTCCAAAAAAAAGGACTGGGAAAGTCAAAAAAATCCCATAAGACTAAATGGCAGGCTATTTGATTAGTTCATAGGAGGAGAGAGAGAGAGAGAGAGTAATTAGTGGTAATACAACTTCACAAATTATTGTAATAGCCATGCGCTTTTATTTCAATCGTCCCTTTCTTTTCTCCTGTTACTTCAATTCTGGTTTAATCGCTTTTAAATTTATGTTATTTCATTTTATTATTGATATCTACGATATTGAAATCGCACAGTTATCTAAAATCAATATGGTAGTAGAAACCGGGAAATACAGATCAGAATGAATGACTCAGTTTCTGGAACTCTCTCAGAAAAGAACTTCGAATAACTTATCTCTTAGTTATTGGCGCTATTTTGCACAAGCAAGCGATCTTACTGCTGAAAGCAGAAAGAATTGGCACCTTGTTATTGTTATCTGAATTCTTTTCTAAGAGCATTGGAAGAGTCAGTAAATTAATATACAACGGGATACTAACATAAAGAAAGCAGAAAATAAATTCGGATAATTAACAAATTACTAATAATCAATAAAGTGACCTCACATCACTTTCTTGTAGACCCAAAATTACTTTTTAACTTTTGCCAAACAGCTCTGAGATTCCTTAAAGGTGAGAAATCAAATTATTCCGAATCAAATTAAACATTAAACTAGTAATACTTAATAATAACCTGCCCACACTAATTTATTCCTTAATCTTTCCTCCTTTTTGCACAGGTTTAATACAATATCTTAAAAATTAAATTTATGATTTCACAGGATCTGTATCATCCATCAATTCGGTCTTTCAACTTTAAATTCATTGCAAATTAAAGTAATAGTTATGGAACACCTTCGAATAACAACTTTTTTTAAATGAAACTTGAGTGCAATCTGAAGTATACATATTACGATATGCATAGTTCTAATAAAGATTATGTGAACAGATTAGCAGTCGATCACATCCATTTTCAACAAATTCTTCTGTTATCTGTCAACTACTTTTGTCGTTGACAGCGATGAAAGAAAAGAAACGGAAATTTTTCAAATGCCACTTTGAATGCGACGAAAAAATGATAAAAAGGCAAAATACAAGAGATCTATGAAATAATAATTTTTTTTTCCTGTGTTTGCATTGACAAGGCATAGATAAGCATACATGCAATTAAATACATGTATGTAAATAAATAAGCAAATAAAAATGTAAATAAATATGCAAATAAGTAGGTCAGCAAGTAAATAAATAAATAAATAAGCAAACAAGCAAACAAAGTTATGAATAAATAAATAGGTAATTAAATAAATAAGTTAATTGACAAACAAATGGATAAGTAAATAAATAAATGAATAAATAAACCTGCGCTTATCTTATATGAAAAAATTATATGTAAATGTTGAATAAGTCTTGTTTCGTACCAGAATATTTGCTTATTTATATTTGTATTACTTCAAACTCAATAATGATAATATTGTAATGATGACATATGCAGGCTTCATCTGGAGAATTTCTCTTCATTAAGCATGTATTTTTCCAAGGTACGTGATGACTTTGAAATCGATCATCACTTTGATAATGGCCACCGACTAATAAATAATTATTGATAACAAAAAAATGGAGCTATTTTTAAATAAATGTGTCATAAAAACATGATCATGATTATGCTTGCTACAATGCTTACGGCAATTTAACAATCTTTCATCCATTTATTATTTGAAAATATGCTACAGATCACGATATGCAAAACTCAACAAAAAAATACTTCAGATGTTACGAAATGATGATCTTACCCGATAAGAGAGAAGGAAGAAATTCTGGAAAAAAATTGAACGACGAAGAGAGGACGATTGAGTAGTTGTCAAAACAATACTCTAAACATAAGAATCATTTCCATTTCTTTTGGATGAATGCTACTACAACAGGTATTTATACTCGCGATAGTCAAATCAACGCAGCATTTCTTGCAAAATGTTAAGTGTTTCATAATTAATCATTCCACTTCACTATGACAATTTTTTCAATAACCCACCTTAAGTTTTAAAACTGCTTATTTTAAATTGTTAAAAGGAACCCAGATAACTCAAGTGCATATAATTCAAGGAATTTAGAAATCGGTGAGTTCATACCGGAGACTCAATGATACCGGATTTCCTTGAATTCGGTTATATGCACCTGAAGGATTTCCTGGATGCTTTTCCAGTAATTCAAAGACAAGAAATTTTAAAATCGAAAATGGATTACTTTTCAAGAAAGATGTTAAAATCTCTTACAACGATTACTTTATGGCAAAATGACCTAATTTGTCTATCGAATAAACAAACCACTTGCGGAATATCTTCCGGAGATCCATCATTCCTTTCTTTTTTCAAGTAACTGATTTGAAGAAACTATGGAAACAGGAATTATTATTCACATTGAAAAATGAATTATTTCTAAATGCCTCAACTATGGCAGCACATTTGAGCGCAAGGCGATTCACCCATCAACGAAAGCGGGTTTAATATGTCATTAGATCAGATTCAGAGCCTTTCAATCAGGTTTGCCTTCGAGACAGATCGACGACTGCAATTTATCTTATCTTTTTCCACATTTGTAGACTTCCCTGTCTAAAAGTGATCAGATATTGATGCATCGGTTCACTGCAAACAAACATTGCAATCGATGTTGCTCAAACGCATATTGCTGTCGACACTCCGTTTGATGGCGCAACATGTCCCTGTCATCATAATGTAGAATCACAACTTTTCTCAACGATCCTGTGATTGAAAAATGGCTGCTTACTTATCACAATATTCATAGCAGTTGAGCTCATAACTACAGAAGCCTGCCATTTATCATAAAAAAATATCTCCAATAAAAAATACAAGCTTTTACGCTTACTACGAAATTTCTGCGATTCACTGTTCTTGGTACTGCTTTTCACTTACATTCTTTAATCTACATTACGTAGATTATCTAATTATAGATACATTAAAGTAAATGATCAGTGCTAATCTTGAAGCTTTCCTTAAGAAGTTTACGCCGAATTCCTCTCAACGCGCATTTGTACCGCTTATTGTGAACCCTTCCGTTATTGTTATGAGAAATGAGATTTTTATATTTAAAAACACCATAGTTTGGAATCTTTTAAAGCTAGAATACTTCATTTTATTCGGATGAATGATATCTAAGTTGGCAATGAGGACTTTTACGCACTTCTTCACTCCTCCATTTCACCCAAATATATGCTCCAGTATGCAAAGTTGAACAGGATAAATGCTACAGGACAAATTAGCCTGAAAGGAAATAAATTGAAGTTCTTTTTTATAGCCAACGTTGATGTTATATTGCTAAAAAAATGGTCTATATCTGAAGATTACAAAGACTGAAAACAATTATTCATGCAAGTACAGCAAAGTAATAATTTATTGAAACTGTGTGGAACGATGATTACATGATCTGTACCTAAATGATAACAGCTATCACCACTATCTATCTACCCTTACCTTCTACTAAATCTATGCTTAAAATTCATCTCTCTCATCAGAGCTTGAATTAACTGTTAAAAACTTAACAAACTATCAATCATGAAGTGAATGAGGCGTAGCACCTGGCCATTATATCGATTCTTTCTGCTCGTTCACGTGATGATAATAAAGTGCACCATCGTACAAATTCAACGCGTTTCCTTTGTCCAATGTATATTAAATCTGATACGTCCTAAAAAAATGTGCATTCAGGAGATACCATCTTCTCTGAAGTTTCTGGAGCTCCATATACTGATACTTTTAGCTCCATATGCTGCTATTTGTTGCCTGTAAAAATTTTGCTCGAAAATGTGCAGGAATAGATGGAGAACAAACCTGAAATGTCCAAATAGGATCCGGATTGTGCATTATATATGATGAATTGAAGTTGATCAATTCATGTTTCTTTTCTTCAAAATTTTGCTTTTGCCTGTGTCGTAATAAGCTCTAGAAATGCATGTTTTCTTTTTCATTAATTGGAAATGAAGCATTTGTTGTAAGTAGGAAAGAGAAGGAATAATTCTAATGATTATTCACTATGTGTTGAAGAATTGGTGAGTGTACAAAAGGTAATAACCTTCTTTTCGGGGCTGTTTAAACAGGATGTCGATGAAGTAGTAACACATTCGACGGGGCTGAACAAAAGGCCATTTTCGATAACATTAGTGAGACGTGTTTGATTGGATGTCACCGTTCGTACTTCTCTGGAAGATGATAAATTAAATTAAATCCAAAATGTTTAAAATCATGCAGAAATGGCTGGTTACTGACAAATGATCGAAAAGATTGTAAATATTGATAAATATTGGTTGTTTAACATCGAAGAAAGCTGATAATATTTTGAAAAATGGAATCGGAACACTGGTTATATTTCGTCTTAAAATTCAATGCTGTTATTCTTTTATTTCTATCATTGTCTAATTATCATAATTTTCGGTATTAAAATCGGTCAAATGAAATTCTCTGAAAGGATAGAATAGCACATGAAAAGGGAAAGAAATAAAAAACAGAAATGGAAAGAAAATATCTTTCCCTACTTCTAAACATTTGTTTTTTATTGATACCTACATTTTTGAAATTTCATCTTTTTCTGCTTTACTTTAATTTCAAGATGAAATTCTGGTTTTCCACTTTCTTTCCGGAAAAATTTCTGCTATGGTTTTCGGTATAAATAAAGGACAGAAAGTAATAATGGAATGTTCTGAACAAAATTATTCGTGTTACCTTAAAGCGTATGAGACAAAAAAATCGCTGCGATTTTCATTGTTTTGGACAAAAAATTATGAAATGATATTTTAAAATATTTCAAATTACGTAAATTTGATACCGATGTTCATCGAAAATTCCCACATAATTCACAACTGCATATTCGATCAATGATGCAAATATAAACACTGAAATTTCATCATAACTGAATTAGTGTTGCTGACTTTGAGTACTAATCTATTTCATAAATTTGAAATGAAAAGACTAAAAATTACAACACGAACCGACACAAGCTCCGATCCATATATCAATGGCCTTCGTGTAACTCACGGGAGGTAGATTCGAATTAATTGCTGAAAAAAAAAAAATAATAACAATAATAATAACAAATGTTTTCTTTTGATAACTCGATTTCTAGCAGATTAAAACTGCACTGTTTAATCCAACATTCAAGTATTAATTTGCTCAGATACCAGTTTTGGTATTTCTCCTTATGTTTATAATTATGAGCCAATTATGAGCCTTTGCGTATTGTTTGAATAAGTAGGGTCAATACGATTATTTCCTTGGTGGGAAGGTAGCGAACTTTTTGTTTATCTTTCGATATTTCACTGCGACTACTATTTAATAGAAAGATTCAAACGCAGAGAGTTTATTATTCTTAAAAGGAGTGCTTTAATTTTTCAGTTATATTTTTTTGAGTTAGACAGGTGGCACTGCGCAGCAACATTAACCTTTGATTTGTTTTTAATAATGGAACGAAATTGTTGAAATAGTACTTCAAACTATGCATTGTTGAAATCACGGAAATGACAAATCTAAAAGGGATTTTGTTTAAGCTGCGATTCCTTTTAGTAACTAGACTTGTCAACATAATATAATTAAATTTTTACTCAAATGGATTTGTGTTGTTGCCACTATTGGAGACTTGGAAAAGTCTGGTCTTTTAGTGGAGAAATTTTTGAAAAAGCTTTATGGCTAATAACTATCGCCAAAAATAGGCATGCAGAGAAAGACTTTTTGAGTGAATAATTCAGTATTCTTGGCATTATTCCTTCTGCAGCAAAAGGAAATAACTATTTTATTAAAAAAAATCTTTTCATCAAATAAATTTCAACCCAAAATAGAAAACATGCACATCATGTGAAAAACCTGAAAACATTTGTTTTCAGATTTTTTTTGGGAGTTATCATTCTATAGTGAAGTATTTAAGTGATGCATCGGATAATAGAAAGGAAATATTTAAGTCATATGAATCTGGTACTTGGACTTTAAAGAAATAATGAATCTAATGCAGTTTACTCCTGGCTAGCCACGTTAAATGCAACAGTTAGGAAAAAACAATATTTCGCAATTTTTACACTGGATATTGGTAGGAAAGAACAGGCATTACTAGCGGTCTTTCTATTTGTAAATTAATTAGTCGATCACTAATTAATTCGTCTTACTATTCAATATTTCAAATGGGAAAAATTACCGTTATTCTTATTCTATCCAGTGTTATTCTGACTGTGTGGAACTACCCGCTCGCACCAATGCTTCTCGATTGCAAATGCGCATTTACATGCTTGTGCGCAATTGTCGAGGGAACAGAAAACATAGTATAACATTGGGAAGAAAAGAGGCATTGTGAGAAGTATGAAGGAAACAGTGAGAAGTACTTTTGTTGGTCAAAAATAAGCTCGACAAGGGAATGTGGGGTACTGAGATCAGGTAGCAAATGATGAGAAAAAGGGGAAGTAATCAAACTGACCATGTGATTGGGTGATCATGGTCAGCAAGGTGACAATTGCAAGTGGTACGCGCGCAGCGGTGCTTTTCCAATCAATCCAGTATGATACCCAAGATACTCCAACCAACATTGCTGATGGAATATAAAGTTGTAGAAGAAAGAATGAGAAAACACGACTGAGCCTAAGCTCCACCCGAAGACAACTGTATGTCCCTGAAATTGAAATTGTGTTAAAAGGTTGGAAGCTTTGTAAGTAACTTGGCCACAAACCTTTTTCAGTGGGCATACTGCCAGTTTTGATAAATATTTACTATTTCATGCTTGTATATTACCAACAATTTAAACAAGTAAATGTTAATTGTTAAGGGTGTAGAAGTGAAGCATTTTATGAAAGTAAAGGAGGTTAATTAAGTATGTAAACAGATTTGTTGATAAAGTATTAAGTGAGAAAGTACTATAAAAGGGAGTGAAATTGTTGGGTTACAGTACCTATTACGATGTTTTCAGCATCTTACTGGCAGATATTCAGTTTATATTTTACAGATGTATAATGACGGAAGAAATACGAATTACCTGTATTAGTAGTGCTATCACAGGATTTATTTTCAAAGGCACTGATTCGGAAATTCGGTAAAGCATTATTAGCATCCTTATCAATTTTTATTGCTGCACGATCCCATTTGTAGACAATGTCATTTGATGTATAAGCATCTACAAATATTTACCTGTATCCTTTGCCAAACTGATAAGATGAGAGTTAAATATTAGATGAACAAACTTATTATTAGTTCTTTTTTTGTTAATTAAAATACTTACAACTAGCAAAATCGATAAGGCACTCTTGAACATCCATGGGATATCGAACCAGGTTCATTTGACATGCCAGTATTAGCGTTAACCTACAATTCATTCACTTGCGTTCTTCAAATAATTTCAATCTTCAATATTTTGCTGCGAGATAATAAGCACTGCATATATCTGGGCCTTTTCAAAAATTATGTGATAACCTGCGATTATAAATGACTTTCCCGTCGGAGCGCAATTTGATAAATTTGTTCTCCTGGAAATAATATCATTTATAAATTTTTCAAGCAACAGAGAGATGATATCATTGGGTGAAATGGAACACGACATAATACGAGGCAATTTGCATTCAAAACTAAATTTATTAGTAAAAGATAAAGACGAGCAAAAATAAGTCAGGAAATAAGTTGGCAATTTATCAATTAACCTGATCCAACATATGGTACCATCCGTTTCGCTCATTTTGGAAGAACGTATCTGGAGTCCAAAGTACTTGATCACGAGCAACATGAATAAAGTCGAAGTTACGGAAATCACTATGATCTGTGAACCGGAGTCGATCATCAAACCATTCTTGTTGGAAGCGAAATTGTGCAACAAATTCCTGTGAGATCCTTTTTGTATGAACAGAGAAATAGAAGGTTTGGTTAATTTATAGTGACTAAAATCTTCGACTAAATGGTTTGCACATTACCGCCAGAAAAAGATTTCCAAACCTTCAAATATTTTGAAATATGTACTAGAAAATATTAAAATATAATATATTTCGTCAAGCATAGATCGATTGAAAGACGAAAAGTCTTTAAAAATGCTCATGTTATAATGCTAGTTTCGAAGTTTTAAGCAATTTGAATGAAGATAATGGAAGGGAAGGATTACCATATTTCGTTCGCTAATTGCGCTAATAGAACGGATTTCTAAACTCGTCCACACAATTACTGGTCCCTCTGAAATTCATCTTAATTTTTTCTGTATTCTGTCGAGTTTTTCAGCACCGACAATTACAGAAAGTTGTAATAATACAGCAAACTACATTTCAAATATAAAGAGCTTACTTTGGTCATTAGTGGGCATTCTTCCGGAAGGTCGCACGGTAGGGTCATAGTTATCAAGTAATTCACAAACGGTCATCTGTTCCCGCCAGGAGCGATAATTTGTTGTGTGTCTATTGAAGGCCATTCGTTTGCTTAAAAATAATAACAAAATAATTCAAATTAATTCAATTTATCAGTTGAATTCGGCAAAAAAGATCAGAAATGTTGCAGCTAATCAGTGGACTACTTCTGAGTAGCTATTAGCTTTATTTTCAGAGACCCAAACTTAATTAGTCGCACATATTTCAAAATGCTTACCAAGGCTTTCGTTTTTGCTTCCTGGCCCATGAAACATCAGTCACTGCTAATGCCATAATTAACATAAACAGTACTGCTGCAGTAGGACGTGTAATTTCATGCCGCACTGTTAATGACTTCCGATAGATTAGCATTTTAAAAGAACCATCACGCTCGATGCGCTCTTCATCATAAAAGCGCTTCAGGCTAATTGATGATCATGCGGATCAAATTCCAGTTTGTTACTGAGAGGAGTAATGGCGATATTAAAGTTCGGAAGCCTAAAATTTGTAGATTGTTAATATTAAACGACAACATCTGCAACATGAATATATATTGCAAACTCAATTTAGTGAGAATTTCAATTTTCGAGATCTTCAAAAATTCTCATTTGAAAAAGTTCTCAATAGAACTTGTATATCAATAGCTTATCTACCGGGTGTTGAAATCCACCCTATCTTAATTAATTCCCACAACTATTCATCATGAGGTAATTAGTGATATATCACAAATGCATCCAGTCATTTGTGATATATGGACTAAATCATTAAAAAAATGCTCTGCAACAAAATTAAGCGGAATTAAAATTAACAGTTTAAAAACAAAACATAATGGAGGAAGAGAAAAAAACTGTTGTCTTCTTTCTTCTTCAGTCTTATTTTTTCCTATCAGGTTTCATAGTTTCTCTTAAAGTTTTTGATCGTTAGCATAACAATAATAACAATAATACTAATAGACAAGTAGTTATGATAAAATAGAATTACTGATTAAAAGTGTAAAAATTAATACTAATTGTTATTTGCTAGCAAAAATGTTATAAAGCTATAAGCTTCAGATCAATGAATCTGAGCAAAGAAAGAAAAAAAAACAAAATACAAAAACAAAAACAAAAATGATCAATCCTCGTTTTGACAGACGTAATGATCTTGATGGTTATCGGAATGTTTCCAATTTATTCATCTGTCTGTTGGAGAGATTCCAACTACGCTTCTTTACTACTTTTTTTGTCATATAATTTGTACTAATTCTTTTTAATATATTTGAATCATTTTGATCAAATCATTAGCGGTATTAAATATTAAACAAGTGTGAAAGCTTTGCAATTCCATTTGTTTTGGTTGAAAATTTTTCTTTTAATTTTTGAATAAAAAGCTAATAGTCATTCTAACTTCTTTAAAAATCATAAATTTGTCATTTTCAGTGGTAAATTTACAAGAAAGGTTTTTTTTCCGTTCTATGTGTGAACTTCTCATCTTATTTGACTAGTGAAAAAGTTTTGAAAATAATACAACATTCACAAGTGCATTTCTCAACAACAACAACAACAACAAAAAAAAAACATGTTTTGAAGAGTTGAGGATATTTTTGATATTTTTATAAAATAACTTTTTCTTTTTACTAATACATTTCCACTTCAAATATTTTTTATTGTATTTGGCTTTACATTTTTCTTGATAAAAACTGAAAATGTTTTTATTCAATAAAACATTTTTGTTAATCTAAGAAAGCTAGAAAAGAAAGTTGTAGCTGTTTTCACCGAATCACTAGAGTTTAAACTGCTGCTACGATCGCTTGCTCGTCTGTTCCTCCTCTTTGTAGAAAACTCTAATGAATTTAAAAAAAAAAAAAAAAACTTTGATGGATTTTTTCGCAAGATTGATAAATTATCAGAGATTTCCGCATCACAAATTCAGAAAAATAGCCTGAAAGATTCTTTTAACTCTCTGAATAAGATAAAATTTAGACTGAAATTCTCTCAGAAAAACGCAGTAAAGGAAGTTTAGGTTTAAGAACTAATCTAGAAATATTTTAAAATAAAAGTTCATTTTGCAAGGCATGAGAAGAGAATTTTTGTTTTGGGAATCTTGAATGATTAAAGAAAAAAGAAATGCCAAGTACCTGACAGCATGCTGTTTGTTTTCCTGCTTTTCTGGAAGGTAAAGAAAGGAAGCGGAAATGCTTTCAAGGAATCTCTTCACATTCCAAAAAAAAAAAGATTATCCTTGCTTTTTCTTGATGCTTCTTAACAGTTGTCGAGTTTCAATTTTAAGACAAAATTCAATCTTTCAAAAAAGAAATTTTGAGAAAGTTTTCTTAAATGATTCATTTTATGTAGTAAGATATTTTCGTACTTTTTTCGCTATCTATTATCACTATAGATTGATAATGATTACACTTATCAAAAGATGAAAAATTACACAAGCATAAATGTACTGCTGATAAAAACACGCAGTCCAAGCATACTTACTGTTACGAAATGCGTTGCAGTTAGAATTTTCTGATGGATTATTACTGGTTCACATTCAGAATAATGTCCCACCTAATGATCATTCATTAAATTTATATTAGCTTTTTGAGCCTTCCTTCATGCATTTTAAACAAATAATCATCATTTCGTGACTAAATAATCCGATAAAAGAAATTCTCAATTCACTAAAAACTCTGAAGACCAATTATCAGAATCCTCCAACCATTTCTAAAGACATTTATGTTTCAAAAGATATCATCGAAACACTTCCAGAAACTTGTTGGTATGAAATACTATTAAGATACACAAGTGAGTGAGTCGGCATTAGACTGAAACGCAAGAAGTCGTCGAATATCATTCAGAATAATAAAAAGTTTTATGGTAAGAAAAATATGAGGACGATGTTAACACACATTTTCATAAATTTGTTCAAAAACCAGTGAAGTAACTTCCCTTTATTGACATTTCCAATTTTAAAATGTGAAAAATGTAAATAATAGCTATGTAAATAGTATGAATCGCTCGGAAAGGAAGCCAATTTTAGAACTTCTTAATTCAAAAACACGATGATTTGGTTAAAAAATCATTTAAGTAAACAGGCATGAACTGAAAGCAGCATTTATGAAATCAAATTGTCTTTCATAAGTGAATAATTATTTTAGCTTCATCTATCCTGGACGGTTTCAAATGATTTTAGTATTATCATCTGCGCAAATATCCTATACTTAATAAAACAACCAAATAAATTCGTGAAATTTGGATATGAAAATTTTCCTGAAGAATCTATCAAGAATGGTGCAAGAAGAAAAAATTTAGAAAAGCTTTAAAATGGAAGAACTGTGAATTCATTCAAAGGAGAGAGAGAAAGAGAGAGAGAGAGAGAGAGAGAAAAAAAGGGAGAGAAAGAGAGAGAATGAGCATACCGATTGGTTTTGAATGGATGGTTAGTTGAATCGGGACGAAAATTGTCTCATTTTAGTGGAATAAAACCAAGAAAAGGAGCATCAGAGGGTTATAAGTGAGTTTGCCTCATTTATACTGCATAGGCTTGCTTTCTGATAGATATAGGTAGGCATCGAGATAAAATTAACTTCAGCAAAATGTCATTACTTTCACATCCTGAAATGTCCTCAAATAAAGTTAACAATCTGTTTCCTGTCTCCCACTTAACCGCTTTTAAAAGGCTTTCTCTAATAAGCTGTTCTTGGAGATTTAGGATTTTCTCGATAAGCCTTTGTGGGAAAGGCAAGGAAAATATCTACTTGCACAGTAGCAAGCAATCCAGCTGGTCACACTTAAACCCTATGGGACAATGGGAAATATAAGGGTCGAGAAAGTTATGTCAACTAATCTACCCTTTTCGTATAGTATTGAGTGAGGATGCTAGGTTGGGAATATCGAGAAAGAGTCAGCAATTTTGATAATAACATTTTCGAAGTTCCTATACACACATCACACATCTATATGCACACAGACAGACTCAGACACATACATATACATACACATACACATACACACACACACACACACACACACACACACACACACACACACACACACACACACA